GATAGTTGTTTTACTTTCATTTGGAATTTTGCTACTGTTGTCGATGTTTTTGTGATTTTTGTTATTGTTATTATTATCATACAGATTATCAACAGTAGGTTAAGTAATATTGGAATGAGTTAAGTGAAATGTAGTGCGTTCAACTAATTTTTTTTGCTGCTGAATCTCGGATATGGAGTGAAGTAAAGCGGACGACAGCAGGAACAGAATCTGGAACAAAACAATCCTTATCCATCCTCTAGTATGTTTGTCTCTCTGTGTATGTATGCGTTTCTGTATAAGTACCACTGGCCAGGCCATACTATTATTGGTTGTTCTGTTGGCTACTGATGCTGTTGCTGATGCTGTGGTCTGTAGCATATTTCGTAGTTGAGATAAACATTTCTGTGACTGTGCTTAATATGGTAGAGTGGGATGGATGAATGGATAAGTGGATGGAATATTTGTGGAGGGATGGATGTTGTGGATCGAGCATGCTTAGTGGATATTACAACAACATCTATTGGTGGCTGTAGTAATCATAGTGATTTTACACTAGTAATACAACAGCAACGACAGACAAAAGTTTGTTAGGAATATTGAAGGCGTAGTCGATTGGCTATGTGTATGTATAGCTGGCTTGCTTAGGGCATGTGGCCTGTGAACTGAATTCAGTGAATAATTTACGGAGGATAGAAGAATGCTTTTTGTAGCACTGCTGTGGATGGTGATGGCTGTGGTGCTGCTGATATCTTCTCTCATCACTCTTTTATCTATCTACCCTTGCCTTACTCTCGCTCTTCTACTAGTTCCGTCAGTATCTATAAGCACTGCAATATGTATATAGATTTAGCCACATATACCTACTACCTATATGTTTATATTCATATATATACATATATAATATATCTTCTCTTACCCTTTATCTGCATCCATTCATTCGTCTGGTTTCGTTTCACACACAGAATGATCCATGTACTTCAGTCGTACAGATTTTCTCTCTCTTCTTATCACAACATATTTATCTCGTTATCCATCCATCCAAGTGATATGCGCGCGTCTTAGCATTCAGTAAGAGCAGAAGTTACTTGAATGAGTAATTGGATGATTAACATGAGTATTGTTTTGTTGCGCAAAAATATGTGGAATGAATGTTAGGAGAGCAAGCAAGGTGATGAATAAGAGCTTAGATGATGATACATAAGACAAGCACTAAGAAACTGGAATAAAGTTATATTGATTGGGCGAACAAGGGAAGTATGTGGTATTTGTACTGTATGCGTATGTTGGTATTGGTATTTGCGCCTGGCTCGCATTCGTCATCCGGCATTGTGTATGTGTTTACTTATTTGTTTGGTCGGTAGATGTACTCATTGGAGTGTTGTTGAGGTAGGAAATGGTTATTTCTGAATGAATTTATGAAAAGTTTTCACAAATAATTGTCTGTATAAGTATTGCATATTGAGTTTAGCTGAGGAAGTGGATAAAATAGTAAGTAGTAATAAACAGTACACGTAGGTGAGAAATTAAATGTGAAGTAAAATGATAACTGAAAACATTTTATTCTAACTTTTTTCATTTCAGTTCCACGAAATTTCGGTGTTTGTTAACAATCTGGCTATGTACGTAAACATATGTATATGTAATATGTATGTATGTATTTAGTAATTTCATGTTATCTAGATCTCTTTCAATCTATCTGTCAATGGGCAGCTGTAGCACCATTCGTTAAGTATCATTGTCCTGAATTACTGCTACTGCTGATGATGATGATTACTGCTGCTGCTGGTGATGATGATTCTATTGATTATTTGGTTGCTATTTTTGATGTGCTTCTTGTCTTGTTTCGTCGCATTGTCATCATTTTGAAAGACGATTTTATTTATTCGATTGCTCATCGTTCCAACCGGCCACCAGTTCTAGCGGTTTGAGTAGTAACCGTAGCATCAGATAGTCGAGTGTTTTTGTTTATTAATACAGCAGCAACGTCAGCAATATTGTCAGCAGTATATACTATTTTTTTTAGTTTAGTTTTATAATTTTATTGGTTAAGTTGATTTATGTTTCTGATTTCATTCTGTCTGCGTACGTAGAAGTTTGTATGTGAGTATATTAGCGAATGAATTCAAACTTCGATTTTCATTATGTTCGGTTTGATTTGTTATCATATCAATCGTTCGTTGGTATTATTTGAAGAGGAAATATGTTGATGATATCGATGTTGATAGTGATGTTAATGATGCTCGTGACGATGGTGATTGTGATAGTAGCTGTTTATATTTGTTGCTTGAGAAGATATGATATTGATAAAGAAGTAGTGTTTGATGTTTATTCTAACTAGCTGACGGCTGAATTGCTCTCTGTATCTTTTGATGACGGCAAAACGAAAAATTGGTTTCTTCGAAAATTGACCGAATGCGATTTACAGCTGTGGTTGTGTCAAAAAATCGTTAAAATCAAAAACTCAGCTTGATATTGTCATTACTGTGCATTCTGTACCGCATTGTGCTATCGTGCATCATTTTTGCTAGTTGAATTTGGCTTTTCTGATTTGTTTTATTTATTTACTTACTTAGTTCAGTATACTCTTCCATCCGCGCATCGATCCATCATTATTAAGAACTATATGTACGAATATGATGTTTGTATGAGAAACACTTTCAGCTGCATATTGCTATTCGCTGTGGTTGGTGCTGAACTTGCTAATGAGGATGAAAGTGAATAACTTTCTCCTCTGCTTTATTCATTCATTTGTTCATTCCAGTTCGATTTGAACTGATTTATTTTTTTGCATTTACTATTATCATTATACTGAAGTAACTCAACTTGTTGTGAATGCAGCATCCTGCACAATCGCGCATTGTTTTGTTGTTGATATTGTTGCTTAACTACTTCAAATAGAGATAGGCAGGTAAACGGTTGAAAAGTGAAAAAAGATTAGTAGCAGATGTAGATGATGGGAGAGTTGTTGGGTAATCGAACAGGTGAAATTTAGCAAACAAAACAGAGCATAAATAAATGAATATGATTGCTTGAAACAATTAACAGGATAGTGGCAATTCTCAGTGATGCATGGTGTGTGGGTTGTACGAAGGATAAATGAAATGTTAGAGATGGAAAAGAAATTTTACAGGGAGAGGAATACGTATAATAGACGGGGTCTCGTCGTCGATCCCACCTAAATTTGTCATATTTGTCGTCAATAAAGAATTATTCTTCCCCTTGTCTTCGAATGAGAATTCCTGACCCCTTTTAATTTTTATTTTTATCTTCTTATCCGTTTCCCATACCGCACATCTCATTTCCTATTGTTGAGGTAAGAAATTAGATTGAATGACTGCAGATTGTTCTATAGTCGTATTTCGTTTTGAGTTATGTCGTGTGTTGCATAGCGTCGTATTATGGCCTTATATCAAATTTCATCGATTGTGTGATAATTTCAATTCGTTTCGTTGTTTTCGCTTTTGAAGTTGTCGTCGTATTTTGTGTCATGGATCGAATTTTCAAATGATGATAAGAAAGCCAGCAGCAATTGTTATTGCTGTTGCTGTGTTAAGAAGCGAGTATTGTAACGATAACGGTAACCATATCTATTTATCTCCCCAGTCTATCTGTAAATCGAAGAGTCAATCATCTACCAACCAATCGTTTGCATATGCTATATTTGCAGCCGCCCCGCTAAATAAGAGCAGTGTCGGTTACCATCTGAAGCCGTGTACCATCCGCTATGACTGACAATAAGAACAGTGTAAGTCTGGTATATTGAAATAATAAATACGTATTCTTATGATGGTTTTGATTGATTTTATGATACATACCTGAAATGTCTATCCATCTTAGCTAAACTGTCGAGTTGTTCAAGAAAAATAATGCAGAATTTAGTAAATGTCAGGCCTAATTCAGCTTGAGCCGAAATTCATGCTCTCCATAAATTGTGAACTGTTTTATCGTCCATGAGCGATAATATCCCGAACATGTCTACCGTCTCTTTCTTGTGGTTCTCAAAGGAGGCGAAATTCACTGCCAGGGTGAATTAGGAATGTCGAAGGTGAATCAAGGAGGTCGGCAAGCTCACATTTCCTTATGATATGATGAAAGGCCATTGTGATGGTGTTTTTTGAGTTGAGCAGCCAAAGGCAGTAGTTCACTCATAGCACTACCATCTTCTTTCTTTCTTCGTCTAACTCTGACCGCCAATCACTTACACCACCGTTGATTTCGCGAATCGCTTTTCGATTTTCTGTCGACTTAACGCCGTATACAAATACTAAATTATTCTATGCACTCATCATGGCCTGCCTGCCAGACCATAAAAAACTAATATGGAACGTCCCAGCTTGAGAACCACTGAACTAAATGATGTTTTAAAAAATCTTTATCATTAGTAATCAATCAATTTAGGTTATTTTATTATTGTTATTATTATGATTATCATTGTCATAAATATGTTATCATTATTGTTTTTACTATTATTATTATTATTATTATTATCATTATCATCACTGTTATGACAATTCTTATTATTTTCCTAATATTGCCAATCCTATCATCGAAACCAATGGACAGTCACATTGTTGGAATGAATGCATGCGGCTGTTGGATCCATTTTGTCAGCTAAGAGTGAGGTATGGTAGTATGTGTGTGCAATAATGCGAAGGAAACGATGAAGGAACGATAAATTTTGTCTGTATATTTATGCGGCTGTCTGTAGGTGTATGCATGTCTGTATTTTATATATTTGAGCAATTCAGCACATAGATTTTCTCATTCGTTCATTCATTCGACCAATAGGGAAAACGTTTATTTTTGTTAGAAATCGGTTAAAAATCGGTCGGAGGCACCGAAAATGAGATCATTTCATATGATTGGTAAGAAGAGTAGGGAGATGGAGATGAAAATGTAAATGAGAGTGGAGTGATAATGCATTTATTTCATTCAGAGGATCCAAGTAGATGGATGCTGATGTATTATTGTGATTGATTGTTTCGGTTCGTTTGAGTGTTGTTGCATGATTGATTTAGAAGCCGGAGGGCGAGCAGGACCAATCGAAGTCGGAGGTGCCCGTGCCACTAAACGATGAAAATCACATCGACGGCAAGCAGATCATTGCTCGTCAAATTCAGGGCACCGTTAAATGGTTCGTTGTTAGTATTAACGGTGAAGTGAAAAAAAGATAAAATTAGAAGTTAGGTTGTGATAAGCGAATTAATTGTTGAAGGTTCAACGTAAAGAACGGCTATGGGTTCATAAACCGCGCTGACACAGGCGAAGACATCTTTGTGCATCAGACGGCCGTCACAAAAAATAATCCCAACAAATATTTGCGATCGTTAGGCGATGGAGAGAAGGTGTCGTTTGATTCAATTTTCATTGTTGTGAATGAATACATGCATTAAGAATTGAAAGATCCATTGAATCAAATGATTATTATCGTTAAGTATCGCCTGAATATTTCTCAATCGTTCGATCCAGTGTTATTGATGAAGAAAGAAATCTAAATCGAATCATTGCATTCAATAGATGATGGTGATGCTAATTTCAGGTTGAATTTGACGTTGTTGAAGGGCAAAAGGGTCCGGAAGCAGCGAACGTAACCGGACCGGACGGAACGAACGTGGAAGGGTCGAAGTATGCGGCAGATAAATCGGAAGGAGGTCGAGGTGGACGTGGTTATCGTCGACGTTTCTACTACGGTGGTTATCGTTCAGGAAGAGGTGGTCGTCGTGCCACTTCGGAGGGCGATAATGCTGGTGATACAGGTGAGGAGGGCGATGCGGCTGATGAGGTGAGTAGATTCATACGGATGTTTTTTGCTTGATGTGTATGTATTATTGCTTATTGAGCGGAATTGATTCGATTCAATACGGTTCGAATGGAATGACATAAGATTTGATTGTTGACTGATTGAAGGGAGTACGTCGTCGAGGTCGAGGTGGATATCGTGGTCGAGGTCGTGGTCGTGGATTCAGAGGACGCGGGGGACGTGGACGTGGTGGACAGAGACGTAGTGCTTCCGAGGGGGAACGTCACGAGAGCGTTGGAAACGGTGAGCATACACCACCGCAAGAGAATGGTTTCCGTGGAGGAGGTGCAGGGCGTGGAGGAACTGGTTCTCGTGGGGGACGTGGCCGAGGAGGTGCATGCTCAAAATATTTGATTTAGAGCTTATTGGATTGCATTTAGTTTGGTTTATCGGGTCATTCATTCGTTTATTATGTTGATTGACATGATCGTAGTAGTAATTAAGATTCTAATTGCATTTAATAGGTCGTGGACGCCGCGGGGGTCGTATGAACGAGAATTCACCAAATGAAGTTGAGGATAAGGGTATGGTGAATGCTGGTGACAGTAAAGGTACCAATGCGACTACACCATCAAACGAGCATGCTCCATTGGCGCAAACAAATGACGCCAAGGAGACCGTCGTCCAGGCTTAAATTCTATTCACGTAATATTTATGAATATTATTTTATCGTTTTGTTATCATTTTTTGTTACATTCGTTGTTGTTTTGTCGGTAATGTTATCATCAATTTCAGGTAATAATGAGATGGAAAGAAGGGGTGAAGTGAGATTGGTGGGTGGATAGTGGTAATGGTGGATATTATTTAAAACGAAATTTGATTTGATTTAATTTGCTTTGGTTGGATTGATTTGGTCATTTCTCGTGGCATTATTATCAGTATTATTGGTATGATATTAAATGCTTAAATAGTATTAATCGTCAAACATCAAATTGTCAATTAACTTATTATTAATCTATCTGTCGAACTGAATCGTTAGTATTGCAATCTTCAAATCTATGCCGCATCAACGACAAACTTATTCGTTTCTACAGCATGTACAATATCCGGTCTATACTCTTTCAAATGCAATTTCACTCTATTGAATGGCTGTGCAACACATCGCGTTATGTAATCAAACATAGAGGCAGATTTTCTGGAAATTATTTATTCCAATGATATTGAGTTGTTCAAGATCAATTAATGTCATAGTCATTTTGGTCGATGTCAAGCAACTGTAATAACGTAATGGGGAGGAATTTAACTTATTTCTACAAAATAAGACTATGTTCCTGATCATTTTTATTTTCAGTAACATGTTTAGATCAGCAGATAAATCATACCTCCTCCCCCCCCCCCCCCCCCTCTCAATTGCTTCCTTCTTTTCATTTCATTCGTTTCAAATATCACATTCGCTTCCCTCATCAACTCTTATCAAGTGTTTATTTTTTTTGTAGTACTGGGATCGATATCAGCGCAAATTTCATCTTTTCATTGATCGTTCTGTTCATCCATCCATACGTTCGCTGTGTACCTACTGCTTGTTGTTTTGATGATTATAATTATGGTATGATTTGGTAAAATGGCTATTCAATCTTATTACTGTTCGTCTACAACTCATCTTCATTTGCTTTGGTTTTTACTGTAAATTCATCATCATAATTTTCATCATTAATTGTTTTGTCGATGTTTTTTTAAATTGAATGGTTACATTAATATATCTCCTTTCACATGAGAGACTGCTGTACGGAGTTGAATGAATGTTGTTATGGTTTTCTAAAGTTTTTTAAATTTTATCCTGGCATGTAATTCTGTTTATGTTTTGCTTGTTTTTTTTTCTTTTTTTTGAAAATTCAACTGCTTTATAAGGCACAAACGTAAGCTATCAATCTTAATGTAAGTATTTCATTATATCAACCACTTTTTTCATTTGCAGCAGTTGTTTGGTATTAATTAAGTGATGAAGGTTTTGTATGGATTGATATTATTTCGAATCACTAGATATTTTTGTCATTGTCGCTTTTCATCCGCTATAGTAATGACAAATTTGAAGGATTTTCATTTTATTTTCTTCATTACAATCGCTGTTAGATGGATTGTTAAGAAAGTTAGTTCGGCAACTTACGTCGACGGAACTTGGAGCGATGTATATCAGATAGCAATTGAACAGATGTGTTTATCGAAAGAAAATTAATTAATGGCGCTGCACATTATTTGCTAAGTTGTCGGACGAACTTATATTATTATCATCATTGGTTTATATCTTCATCATCGAAAAAGTCCCATCTCAAAAATAATAAAAAAAAATTTCTTCTATAATAGCAATCTCTTTTTATATCTCTTCATTCAGTCGTTCATTCTCTCGCCCATTCGTTCGTTCGGTAATTGTCATAATCATAATAATTAATAGTAATATCAAGAAAAAAGTTTTTATCATCAATATTCGATATCATGTGTATGCTTGTTGCGTTGCGTTGCATTGTGTTCAGTTCTGTTTTGCTCTCTTTTGGATATCATCTTGAATTTATATTCTTATTATCTATTATTATTAATATACATTATTAGAACGTATTATTATATATTATTATTGTTATATTATCGTTATTACTGTTATTATTACCACTATTGCTATTGTCATAATTAATTCATTTGTCATTGTCATCACGTCTATAATTCTCTCTGACTCTCCCTCGTCACCAATCGATCATACAAATATTTTAAGACCCATGTTTTGTTCATGTTCCATCCATGATCCCGTCTTTGCTTTATTTCTGTAACATCCATCAAACATCATTGATGCTATACCATCAGATTTTTGATTTATTGTTATATTTATTATTAGTATTATTACTGTTATATTATTATTGTTATATTATATTGTTATTATTGTTATTGTTATATTGTAGTATTTATTTGAAAATACTGGAAAAAAAACGATAACAACAACCAAAAATTTTGAATGGATGAGGTAGGGACACATATAATGGATGTTCTCAATTTAAGTAGTATAGGAAATTCAACCGTATCCCTTTCAGCAAAATTCCATCTACTTTCTGTAGATTTACTTTATGTTTTTATGCATTCAGTATGATAAGGGAAGGAAATGTTTTCTCAGTAGAGAATTTAGAGAGGGTTTTGGAAATAGTTATTTGATCAATTTCATTTCAATCTACTACAATAGTCAGTTTATTTTTAAAGGACTGTATGTTATATGATGTAATTCAGTTTTATTATTCATGTTGGTATTTGCGATCGACAATGTCCCACCACCCAACAAACACCAACAACACCTTAATAACAGCGTTTTTGATTGGAGATTAGGCAAAAACTTCAATTTAGCTATCTTCCTCCAAACTTTTTGAAATATGATTTATTGTTATCAACAGTTGTTTTCACCATCCATCATCATTATCGTTGGAATCTTGAGTCAGCTACAAATTTTGATATCATTGCTTTTTGTTGAGACTGATACACGCACATTGAACGTAGATGTGCTTGTTCATAGTTCTTCTCTTTTTTCTGTTTTGCTGTTATTTTTATAATAATAATAATGATGGTTTTTTGTTAGTTAAATTATTTATTTTGTTTTGTTCATTTATTGTCCATTTGTTTGTTTTCTGCTTGTTTGCTATTTTGGAATGTTTTTGATATTATTCCGATTCATTATGAGCGCCACCTTACTGTGAGTGTTAGAGACGTTTAGCTGAAATTAATCATTATAAGTGAGATTTAAATATTTATTCAATTAGTTATTTATTCATTTTTTCTACAACACAGTATGTTTATTCAGTTATTTACTCTTATTTTCTTCAATCCAGTAGATGCTAGTATTTATTTTCAAAGCTTAATTACCTTAGTTTAATTATATTTTATAGTATAGTTTTATTTAGCTGGTATGAACGTTTAAGAATTTTGGATTAATTTTTCAGTAGTTCCCTCGTTCAATATGAGTATGGTGAGGATGATTCATGATGGCAATGATTAATAAGGAGAAATCGCCATTGCACAGTCCGTAATACGTGTTCGCTTCAAACATTTCGGCGTGTTACAACATCATCAGTGAAGGGGTGAGGGTAGAAGGATTTGCCTGTGCATATGTAGCTATAGAATCGAAATCTCGATTAGCATTATGTGGGATAAGGTTTTCCTTACTTTCCTCATTCTTTGTCTGGTGACGGCGTAAAATAACGAAACGTTTGGAAGGGCCAATTATTGCGGACTGAGCAGAGGTAATTTATCCGTGTTAATCATTACTATCAAGAATTTTTACTGAGTAATAACGTTGAGTTTTGGCTTTATTGAGCATTTTTCTTTTTGACAGTGCATTAGTTTCAACTAAAATACGTGAATAGTGCATGTGAGGTTGTTTAGCAGTCTTTGTTTTTTTTTTTGAAACTGAAATAGTCTTGATAAGCTTAATTTGTTACTTTGGTTCAAGTTTAGTTTCATTTTCTCGGTTTCGTTCAATTCAGTTAGCAATTTTCACAACTTCCGTGTGTTTCATCCGTTCGATTTTTTTGACGTCGTTATAAATTAATGATTTTTCGTATTCTCATATCCTTACTTAAGTTTATTTGCTGGAAAATTCGCTGTTATAATCATATTTGTTCTACTTTTATACCATAATAACTGTCATCATAATTTTCTTCCTCTAAACACCTCTTGAATTGTCATCGTCTTCATAAACGTTGACTCCGAGAAGCGCTTCGACTATATCATAATCATGCACATCATCATTTCACCTATCTCTGAAACTCTTCTCATAAACTCTACTCTTATTAGAGTTCGTCTAATTGTTTGTTCGCTCTTTTTGCTCGTTGTCTTTTTTTCACGTTCAGTTCGTAAGGTGATAAATTACTCCGTTAATAATTTTAATTCTACTTGAAATTTCATCAACTTCCTTGTCGTATTATCGTAGCCATACCCTTTGTCCTTTCCAGACCTCCCCACCTGTCCGTTTCCATTTTCCGTGTTGACCTTGTATGTCTACTTGCTTCAATTGTGGTTTTTTTGCCGTTGTCTTTTCTTATGATGAATGATTTATCGAATATAACGCCAAGTGATCACACATGATATTCTCCTTCATATTATCATTATTTTCAGTCTTATTATTATTGTTATTATTATTATTATTATTATTATTATTATTATTATTATTATTATTGCTGTTCATCTTTTTTTAAAATTGTTTCATTGCGCGATTGTTCTTTTTTTCGAACTCGAATGTTTGTTTTTCATTAAAAATTGGTTCATTCATTAATTCATTTCTGGTACGTTCATGTTGTGTTTACGGTAACAAATCACAAAAATTTGTGTAATGGAATCGTTTTTTGTTTCCGCATTCATTTTTATTCAATTTCCAGAAGTGTTTTGTTACGTTACGTTTCGTTTTTGATTTTCAATCGATTTCGAATAAATTTGTTTTCATTTAAAACAAAACAAGTGTTTGGAATAAAAAATGGGCATTGTTATTACTTCATTATGCCGAAGATGTTGGATTGATACATAAGTATGGTAAAGAATAATGAACGGATGTTTTATAGTAGTTGTTACTGTTCTACAAATGAACATGACCAACTGAATCGTTCATTCGAAACGTTTTTGCGTTCGGTCGAAAAGCAGTGGTCATTTAACTGCCACAGTTCTCTAATACCTACACTTCACTTGACAACTTCAATTTTATGTAGTAGTGTTGAATAACAGTGTTGTGGTGATGATATCTCTGCGGGAAAAAGTTTAGGGACTGCTTTCGTAAAATAAGACAACTGTTGGTAATGCACTGAAAATCAAGTTGTAGCCAGCCACTCAGAGAATTATCAGGTGATACTGATCTTAGTCCTGTTGCGGTTGTTGCTGAATATGGTACAACTATTGTCAATTTTAGATCATGGATAGATCCAGCAATTAGGAATTTGTTTTTTGTTTTAATATATTCAGATTTGTTCATTATAAGTATCGTTTTCGAATGTACTATAAAGGAGTTACCTATAATATAAACAGTATAATATAATATTATATAAATAAAGTATAATATAATATATAATATAATATAGTATAATATAAATAAAGTATAATATTATAGTATAATATAAACATAAGTAGATACAAGTGAAATCATAGCCCAGCTGAGGGTCGCAACATCAATGACATTGGTACACCATCCAATTCCGAGTGAAACTTTCTTCCGCAAACGGAAGTCGAGCCCGCGACGTACCAATTACCGGTTGAGGCTCTACTTTCAAAGTATCACGGAGACTGCTCAGCATCCGTCGAATGGTTGTGTTGAAACCGAGTGGTGCACCAATGTCATTAAAGCGGTGTGTGAGTGGAGAATAGCGAAAGTCGCTTCAGTTCATTTCGGCTGTATTTTTCGTCAGGGTTACGTATCATTCCGCCATAGTGGGAAGTCCTCTTCAAATATGCATGATCGATCAGTTACATGTTGGATTATTATTACAGCTTTTTGTAAATCTTTTTCCTTTCAAATCAAATCTGCAAATCGTCGGTGTGGTCGAAGTCATTTTCTGCTATTTTTCGGTGCTTCCAATTTTAATGACTGAAGAACGCCTTGAAGGTTGAGAACTTTGTGTTGTGGTGCTGTATGATCTTAGGGGAAATGAAACGAATCGTAGACAAGACGTATAGTTCGTAGTCAAGTAACAATATTTTGTAGTGCTACGATGTTGAATAGTTACTGTCACTACAGTCGCTGTTTCTGCAAAAAGATTATTTTATTGATGTTATCTTTTCAGGTATTAATAAAATTCATCACTAATCATTTGTCTCTCTCTTCAGTCATCAATATCAATGTAAAATCGTTGTCGTTTCAGTCTGATTGATATCTGAGATGAATTTATATGTTTTTGCTAGACGTTTTGTGCGATACTGATAGTTTTCCATCCAACAACAGCAGTTTAGAAGTTTTTTTCAGAGAGAGGTGCGAAACGATACAAAGTATCACAACAACATGGGTAATGTCCTCTCGTCTTCGATACCCTCTCAGATTTTACCGGTTGAGGCATACGTTAGTGATATCTCAGAAATGGAATTTGTTCAAAGGTTCATTTTGAACTCATTCTTTATTGTTGTTTTTATTAGGGTTTCAGTAATTATAACAATACTGCTAACACTAATAATAATAGTAATAATAATAATAATAATAATAATAATAATAATTGTTATTATTATTATTACTGTTGTTATTAATGTTATTGTTGTTGTCGCTAACGTTATTGAATATTCAGTATGGGCAGTACACGTTTTATGAAGGTGGCACGCGTTGAGCACGTTGAAGGTGCTGCACTAGTGAAGGTGTTTTTACTGCATGATCAATCGTTTTCGATAGAGCCATATAGAGATCAGGTTGCTTTATTTATCTATTGTTATTGCCTGCTGAAATGATCACTTGCAACGATTCGGTTACGGAATTTTTAGGTGATACGTATACGTGACCTGCTTCAGTCAGCTTATAACTGTTGTCCCTTTAAACGAGTATATGTCAGTTTTTTAAATTGATTCTCTTATTATTATCATTGTTCTTTTTATTATTATATTATTATTATATTATTGTTATTGTTATTATTATTATTATTTGGATTGTGTTATTTATTGCAGTAAATAGTAATAGTAATGAATGTATAACTGATGATAGCAATAATAACTGTAAATGATAATGAATGATAATGTCAGTTAACACCACGCTGCGCTGTTCTATCAAGACCATTTCAACGGCAGACTTTGTACGATCGTTTAAGTACTCGACCGTTCCTAATTGATATCGAAAAACGTTGGATTGCTTTTCAGTTATTCAAGGTTCGTATCGTAACATAATTATTTTCTTTCGTTTAATGTTATCATCAGTAATAATAATGACGCGAATTGAAGGCGTTAGCACAATGCGAAGCAGTTGAGGTTTGTCATGGTGATCTGAAGACGCAGAATGTGCTTGTTTCCAGTTCAAACTGGGTACAAATCACCGATTTTGCCTCATTTAAACCTGCCACAATACCGTCGGTAGGTTTCAATATTTGTTTGCTTATTTATTTGTCTTGTTTATCGTGTTGAATGAAATTCTTAAACATTATCCGGTTATTATTATTATTATTATTATTTTATTATTGTTATTATTATTGTTGTTGAAATGAATCGAGTGAATGACGAGTGAAATACTGAATTGATGAGTGGATGAACTTTTAGGATGATCCATCGTATTTTACATTTTTCTTCGATACAAGCCGTCGTATGAGTTGCTATTTGGCACCGGAGCGTCTACAGCCAAGTCAAGAGCTGAACTTGTATTCGAAATTACCCGGTGAATTTTTGGACGTTTCAAAAGATTTAACGCATGCGATGGATATTTTCTCAATGGGATGCGTTCTAGTCGAGTTATTCACGGATGGTCAGTGTGCATTCACACACGAGCAACTCATCAAATTCAAGTAAGCGAACTTAGTACTTAGTACTGATGAGAATAATATTGTATTATATTAAGACACGCAACCGATACAGAGGCACAGCAGATCGTTCAACAAATCCAACAGCAGCTACCGAAGGAGATGCGTCGCATGATAGCATTGATGTTGAGTCGAAATCCAGCACGAAGACCGAAAGCCTCGCAGTTGGTTAGTTTCTTGTTTATTTATTCACCTTTGAAGCGTTGCTAGTTCATTGTGGTATGTTCAACAAAAATTTCCACATTCCCTTAGATGGAACGGTTTGAGGAGCGATGGGAGTTTATCACACAACCGAAAGGGCAAAAAGTGATAAATTTCAGTTGCAAAAATACGCACCATTGTTGTTCCCGTCAATCTTCGACAATTTTTTGTACAATTATATGTATGCATTTCGACCAAAATATCTATCAGCATGCGCTATCTCTTCATCGATGGAGGAACCATCCTCACAAACGATCCTCTTTATGGATTCTGATGATGTAGTGGCTAAGTGAGTTTATTCATCATTATTATTGTTATGACTGTTTTCAACTGGTAATTTATTCAATTTCCGGATTTTGTTCCATTTAGTTGGAATAATACTGAGGATAGTAATCATGGAAATAATAATGGTTATAATGATATTACTGTTGAAGATTAGCAAGTGATTTGGATATGATAATGACAAAATTAAACGATCCATCGAAGCAGTTGAACGAATCACGTAAAGAGCAGAATGAAGAAACATTACAATCGGTTGTTTTAGTAATCTCATTGCTTACTTCGAATATTCGAGCTCTGAAATCTTTAAGTGCAAAATTGGTATGTATTTGACTGCTATTTTTTAAATGTTATTATTATTGTTATTATTATCATTATGTTGATTGTAATTATTTTTAGGAAGCTATAAAAATCTTACTCCGCCTAGCAACTGTAGCCGATGCGTCAATTTGTGCTGATCGAATCCTTCCATATATGGTTAATGTTTCATGATTATTGTTGTTATTGTCATTATTATTATTGTCGTTATTATTTTTGTTATTATTTGAATGATATTAATTAGAAGTGATTTTTGTTTATTCACTGAGTTGTTGAGTCAGCCAAGGGTTTGAGGCTTAGTGTCTTCTAACCAAATATGTAAACGATGGTTGTCAAATGAAATGACCAAAAGGTAATTATGAAATGAACTGTACTCTCAGATGCACATGCTATCCGATGGTCGTGTGCAAGTACGTAGTGAAGCAGTTCATTCCATTACGCATATGTTAGCCACATTGAATAATATACCAACTAATGAAACCAGGCTCTTCATCGACTACTTATTCCCTCGTTTGGTTATTTTTTAGTATTCTTTATTTTCATTACTGTTTGTTTGTTTGTTTGTTTATTTTAATTATTCATATTTGTAGAAAATTGTTTCGTTGGATCAATCCGTACTCGTTCGTATGTCATTAGCCGTCAATTTGGGTCTTCTCGCTGAAACATCTGTGAGGTTGTTGATTAATATTGTTATAATAATAGTAATTATTATTATTATTGCTATAGTCATTTATTATTATTGTTTCATTATTTATTATTACAATTATTTGTATTATATCATTATTAAGATTTCTACGAGAGAGTGAACGAAATTTGACAGAGAATCTGTTGGGCGGGTCGGTGATATGTGAGGGTGAAGATGTCAGAGAACGCGAGGCACGATTAGCCAAACAAGAGTTGCGGGCGTTGCACGAAGCCGTCAACGAGATCTTTGTGAATCTGTGTGGTTCGGATAATAATGTTAAGGTTTTGTACTTTCAGCATAGTTCAATGTCACGTATAGTTTAAAGCATAACAGCTTTTTATATTTGCCGTTGTTTATTTATTCTCTCATGCGTGTACTTTCAGCATAGTTTAATGTCACGTGAAACGCTTGGCAAATTATGTCAATTCTTCAATCGACAAGAATGTAATAAGTTCAGTTATATGTATTTTGTTTTTGTTATTATTTACATTTCGAGTGAGGTATTTGGCTTGATCGTCTTAATTATAATATAATTCTGATGGTTATAATGAAATACATTATAGCGAGCGACGTGTTGTTGTCGCATATGATAACGTTCCTGAATGATAAAGTTGATTGGCGATTGAGATGTACATTCTATGAGTATTGCTCGTTGACCGCATCGGTGATTGGACGACAGATCACGTTCATTCTCAAGTCATTGTTGCAACAGGTTTGCTCATTCATCCATATGCAACAAAGTTTTGATGTAAATGTGAATATTGATTGAAGGGTATTCATGATTATGAAGAGTTCGTTCAATTACGCGCATTATGGTGTATTTATTGTTTATGCAAGCAACAGTTGCTCGACAAGTCGGCGATCTATGAGTTGTTGCCAGATATTGTTCCGTTCTTGGTTCATCCAGTTCGTTTTTAATATTTATTCATGCTATGATTATTGTTATTGTTATGAATATAATGTGATTGTTAAGAATGAGTGGCTGCGTATGGCTGCCGTGAATCTTTTAAGTGTTCTTGACGAGACGTTGAGTGTTGCTGATATACACTGTAAATTGATGCCATTGGTTGTACCTTTTTTGAGTGAACAACTTATCAAGTTGAATAATACGGTTTGGTGATTTCTTTTATTACTTTTGCATTATTATTATTATTATCATTATCATTATTGCTTATTGCTTATCATTATCATTTCGATCATTGTTATTGCTACTCTAGTGATTGCAGTCCGTTGTGAGCTTATGTTTAAAAGTACCAATACCACGTCCTATCTGGACATATATTGTAAATGATTGTCCTTTGGTGGCACTGCTGGAATATTTGAATGATAAACGTATATTGATCGCTCTTGATGGTGGACCGAATTCTATCTATGCGGCTAATAGAAAGTTAATATTTATAATATTATTATTGTTTATTGTTAATATTAACAGTATAATAATTATCATTATTATTATGAAAATATTAAGTATCATTTCAAGGCAACAAGCGAGACCAACGCAATTGGAAGCTCACCTGAAGAAGTTAGAAAATCTTGGTTTGAATGATGCTGTTGAAGAGAAAATTATCCATTTTCAAAATATTCTCACAAAAATGGATAGCTTCAAAAAATGGTTCGTTTATTGTTACTATTGGTATAGTTTTCATTAAGATAACAACGAGATTTGATTTGAGTATGAGTGCAAGACGACAAGATGAGAATAATGGAATGGTGGGTGTGTTGGAACTGTCGAATGTTGCAAATGTACGACTGCATAAATTTGATTTGTTGACACGTGAATATCAATGTGCTGATTTGAAGGTGGGCGATGTTGTCATTGACGAGAAAATTAGTTAGAAAATCATTTGGTCAGAGTTAGTAAACGAAAAGAAATGATTCACTTCGTAATATAAATGACAAATAATTTTTAGAAATCTTCAAGCGATATTGAGCATCAAATGAATAAAACAACGAGTATGACAATGAATATGATGAATCCAGAATGGCATGCAATGTTCGGCACAGGACCTGGCGGTGCGGGTGGTGATGAAGGTTCTAATGGTATGACAGCAGCAGTATCAGCTGCTGCAGGACTGGGGGTAAGCGTGGTGACTGAAGGTGATGCCAGTGATTTATTGCTATTGAGAAGCAATGCTGCTGCAGACGTGACACGAGTTAAAACAAGATGTGGTCATGATGAGAGTTCGGTTGCTGTTAAGAGTAGTAGAAGGAGTGCATCAACTACATCAGCAGATGAAGTGTTCAGTGGAAAAGGAGAAGAGGAGCGTTCGGATGATGATGAGGACGGAGACAGTGACGAACGATGTTATAATATGGTGACAGCGTTAGATTCTGAATGTTCAACTGCTGCTCGATTCCGTTCACATTCGAACGCAGTGAATAAGACGGCCAAGAATCGGAATAAACAAAAATCTGTCAGCACTTCATCATCGTTTGATGGCGTAAATGAAATGACAGCTGTAAGTGGAGTAGAGAATGTGAATGAAAATGCTGCTCATCTATCATCCAATCAACAACTGTTGACTAGGAACAGCAATAGTAATAATGATACAAAATCGTTCAATCCGACAACCGGTATTCTTGGTGGTAATGTGATCGTTGACGATTTACCGATGACGACCACTGAAAATTCGAATCCTACAAATAGTTAGTTACCAGAGATGGCAATTGATTTCAGTTTTTGTTCGCTTGTTTATTTGATAGTTTGTTTTTAGACTTTTCTGATTGAACGCCATTCATTCATTCTGGAAAAAAGCGGTATTGTTGAGACAGCCGACCAGTAGTGATCATCTCGAAACAAAACAAAAGTTTTGGTATTGAACGATCCATAAAAATAACATAGTTACTGCTTCCGAATCTTTGTTGGTCCAAAAAAATAGAGAATGCAAAATGACTGATCAGCAGCTTTCAGTGCTTCGTTCGGAATCCGAATGTGATACTCAGTTGATGAGATTATTAGCGCATAAACGTGAGCGCTATTTACGTCATCAGTATTTCGCGCGAACTGCCCTAGGTGCTGCTGCTGCAGCAGCAACACGAATGAATCAAGGTCAAGGTAATTCAGAAACAAAATTGCCTTCATTCGATCAATATGCATATTATTTTCACCCATATCCCTTCCATATAACATCGTCCAATTCTGCAACCTCCTTATCAACGTCTGCAGCGAATAGCACATCGAAATTCACTTTAACTTCGTCCGATTATTTGAATTTTAATTTCTCCCCTCAACCTCCAATAATGGCACCTAGCTATATGAAGAATCAATATTATTATTATGTTGGTGGTGGAGATGGAGCCAGGGCTGTAGGTGCAGCTGCGACTGTATTACCATCAGTATCATCGGCCAGGGTTGGCACCAAACTGGTAGCACAATTTCACGAACACAGCGATGCAGTGAACAGGTTTCTTTATTTATCTTGTTACAGTGATTAGGTTGTTGTTACTTTGAGATTATTGCTATTATCATTATTATTTTGAGGTTGTGTTTGAGTCCAGATGGAAAGCATTTCGCAAGCGCTGGAAATGATGGTGCGTTGAAAATCTGGTCATTGAGTCGCCTGTACAACGATAAAGCGACCCCAACTTGTGCAGAAGCGACATTTACTTACAGTAAGTAGTTATCGTTTTGAATATTGTTGTTATGAGCACAAATATGGTTGTTGTTGCAGAGCGTAAAATCAATTCAATCAGTTACATGGGCGATTGGTGTACGGGTGAGCGTTTAGCTTTGGGAAGTGACGATAGTCGTATAACGATGATTGATACGGCAAGAATGAGCTTAATCACGACGTTTGGCTTTCATAAAGATGAAGATGGTGCACCAGTGGAGTTGTTGAGCACTTGGAATAGTAATATTCTGTATGTGCTCACACATCATAGCAGTATTTTTTGCTTAGATACAAGGTAGTTTCTGTTCTTATTTGGTTGATTCTCCCTGATTACATAGGACGAACGTTGTGTTCAGAATGAATCATGCACATGTTCAGCTAAAGATCATTTACTAAACCATCCCAGATTGCCAAATCGAAACGATGGTTTCGGCCGAAAGCCACCGGTCGTTTGGAAACGTCGCATCAATAATGCGTATGGTCTCATTACGTCGTTCTGTTTGGATCCAGTGCGCCAAAATTGGATGTGCTTAACGTCAACGAATTGTAATGTTATCCTATGGGATTTAAGGTTTGCACCTTTTTGTGCTCTTATTGAAGATATTGTTTAGCTTTCAATCATTCATTTATACATTTTGATTTTTATTCATATTTATTCATTATCCTCTTTAGAGAAATATTGCTAAAAAATTTATCCAAACATTAAGCATATCAACTGTATACGACTTGAAGGATTGCACTGAAAAATAGATAAAAAAATTTAGATTTGGTATTGAAGTAAGTAATTGGCCGCATCCGGATAAGCACTGTCGTTTGCTACGTTGTTGGCCAGCATATCCTCGCCCTAGCAACTGGGCAACTACTGCTTCTAATGGCAGCAATAACAGCACTGGTTTGTGTTCGGAAGTGTGGACATCGTCGTCGTGTTGTGGTGAGTTGAGTTGTTGGAACCTTGAGACAGCGCAACGCTCACACGTTCTGTGGCCGTCGCTGGATCGAAAACCGCTTAGTTATACAAAAGTATGTTGTTGATTTGTTCATTGAATTATTGCTTGTATTGAATTGAATTGCTTCATATTGTTCAGCAACTGCTTATTCTTATATCGGATTTGATTTATCTGTTTTCATTATTGCTCTGATTGGTTATTGAATAATAATAGTAGTTGAACACTAGATTGTGGTTAAATTTAAGGATAAATATGTAACAACAGCATTGACGACCTGCCCTCAAACAGGTCGTATTTATACGGGTGATAGTTATGGTGCGCTCAGGTCGTGGACTTTATCCGGTAGGCGGGAAGAGTGTTTCTATTTATCGGGTCCACAAAAACGAACTCCTGATGCGATCGCGAGCGGTGCAACTGCTTTGCGAGGCTGCTCATTTAAACGATCGGTTGTTAATGGCGTTGAAGTGACCTACGAAGAATGCTCGGATAAGAAACAGCTGTGGTCACCCGAACTTGCAAACAGTCCTTTGGACACGCAGGTGGTTTCTTTTAGTTCTGTTATTTGTTTATTTATTTGTTTGTTTACTTGTTTCCGTTTCTTGACGGCTATTTTTATCATTTGAGGTGAACATATACCATCATAGCTCCATATCGGATTTGTTGTGCTCTGGTGAGTTATTGATTTCATCTTCTCGTGATGGAATAATCAAAGTCTGGAAATGATGTGAATATATCGGCAGTGATAACGATGGATATGAATATTATCTTGTTCAATTATTGAAATTACAATAATAATGATGGTATATAACGTCTTACATATACATTTGTATGGCACGAATAATGTAATGCATCATTCATATTGACTGTGCTATCGAAATTTATGTGGTTAGTGTTCTGCGAAGGTCGCACGCCAATAATTTTGCAATATTTTATTGTCAATTTCCACAGTTTGATCTAAGAGAAAATTTTTCACTTTGTGGTGATGTTTAGCATTGACTGATGTGTTTCTTACGTATGTATTTTTGTATATATATA